TGCGATGGCACCCCATCTATGGAATGCGCTCCCCAGAGAGGTCTGCCTGGCGCTGTCGTTATTTGTTTTTCGGCGCCAGGCTACGACCTTTTTATTTAAAACTTAATTGTTAAATTATTCAATTAATTAGGATTTTAAAATGTTTAGCTGAGAATGCACTGGGGGTTTTTAAATGGCTTTTTTATTGTTATATTATCATTATGTATGTATTTATGTATTCTTTGTGAGCCGCCCCGAGGCTTTGTTGCAATGGGGGTGGCATAGAAATGTTTTAAATAAATAAATAATCCCTTCAAAATTCAATGTGTTTGGATACACAGAAGCTTCCATGGGTGAAAGCCGTCTTGGTAATTTATTATACATTTTTATCTTTAACTTTTCCCACACCGACATTAATGATTTTCTAATATAGTGACTTAAAAAAGAGCCATGTGACTTGGCCTTCTCATACCACATATAAGCATGCCAACCCATTTGCAGATCATGTCCTTCAAGATACAAAATTCTCTTATTTCTTAAAGTTAACCATCTTAACTTTTCCAAGGTCTGTGCAAGATGGGTGCCACGAATGCTCATAGTGCCCCAGAAACAAGTGCGAGTTGAGTGCTGTAGGGAGTTTTTAGAGCTCTCGAGTATTTTTGACCAGATTGTTACTGGAGATGAAACTTGGGTTCATCACTATGACCCTGAAAGTAAGCAGGAGTCCATGCAGTGGCATAAAAAAGGTGCTGACCCTCCGAAGAAATTCAAAGTCACTCTATCGGCCAGAAAAATCATGGCCATAGTATTTTGGGACTCAAAGGGAATTTTATTGAACGAGTACACAAAAAAAGGTAAAACCATAAATGCAGTATCTTACGCAACCACTCTGCATAATTTAAGAGAAACAATTAAAGAAAAAAGGCGGGGACAACAACGCATCCTTTCACATGGTGGGTGTTTTGAAGGCTGCTGTGCAAGACTGGTTTCGAAGAAATAAACCACCCACCCTATAGCCTGGACCTGGCCCCCAGTGACTACTACCTATTCCCAAATTTAAAAAAAGATCTTCGTGGAAAGCAATTTTCTGACGATGAAGAGCTCCAGGTGGCAATTAACGCACATTTTTTAGACAAGGAGAAAGGGTATTTTTTTCCAGGGAATTGAAAAGTTAATTTCTAGATGTAGTAAGTCTATTGAAGTTATGGGGGATTACATTGAAAAATAAACATTTCACATTATTATTCCTTTTTCTTCATGCTGATACCGAGAATATATTGAATGCCCCTCATAGCAAACACTCTTTTCCAACAACGCAAGAGACGACTCTACACATGGACATCACCACATGGTCAACACAGAAATCAGATGGACTATGTGCTCTGCAGCCAAAGATGGAGAAGCTCTATACAGTCAGTAAAAACTAGACCAGGAGCTGACTGTGGCTCAGATCATGAGCTTCTCGTTGCAAAATTTAGACTTAAATTGAAGAAAGTAGGGAAAAGCACTAGGCCACTCAGGTATGACCTAAATCATATCCTTGATGAATATACAGTAGAGGTATATTCTATATAGCTAGAAGGGATAAGAACGCCTGCTTAAATGAACAGTGCAAAGAAATAGCAGAAAACAATAGAATAGGGAGGACCAGAGACCTCTTCAAGAAAATTGGAGATATGAAGGGAATGTTTCATGCAAAGATGGGCATGGACCAAAATGGCAGGGACCTAACCAGAGGCGGAAGAGATTAAGAGGAGGTGGCAATATTACACGGAACTACTATACAAGAAAGAACTTAATGTCCCTGATAACCACTAAAGGGTGGTCACTGACCTCGAGCCTGGAATGTGAAGTCAAATGGGCCTTAGGAAGTCTGAGCAATAACAAAGCTAGTGGAGGAAACAATATTCCAACTGAGTTATTCAAAATCCTAGAAGACGATGCAGTTAAAGGGCTACACCTAATATGCCAGCAAATTTGAAAAACTCAACATTGGCCACAGAATTGGAAAAGGTCAGTTTACATTCTGTTCCCAAAGAAGGGCAATGCCAAAGAATGTTCAAACTGCCGCACCATTGCACTCATTTCACATGCTAGCAAAGTTCTTACAAGCTAGGCTCCAGCAGTATATGGACCAAAAACTACCAGAAGTGCAGGCAGGATTTTGAAGAGGAACTAGAGATCAAATTGCCAGCATATGCTGGATCATGGAGAAAGCTGGGGAGTTCGAGAAAAACATCTGCTTCATTGACTATGCTAAAGCCTTTGATTGTGTGGATCACAGCAAATTGTGGCAGTTCTTAGATGGGAGTCCTAGACCATCTTATTTGTCTCTTGAGAAACCTATATGCGGGTCAAGAAGCAACAGTGAGAACTGGACATGGAACCACTGAGTGGTTCAAAATTGGGAAAGGAGTTTGGCAAGGTTGTATACTGTCACCCTGCCTATTTAACTTATATGTGGAGCACATCATGAGAAAGGCAGGGCTAGATGAATCATGAGTTGGAATTAAGATTGCCGGGAGCAATATCAACCTCAGATATGCAGATAATGCCACTCGAATGGCAGAAAGTGAAGAGGAACTAAAGAGCCTCTTGATGAGGGTGAAACAGGAGAGTGCAAAAGTTGGCTTGAAACTCAACATTAAGAAAACTAAGATCATGGCATCTGGTTCTATCACTTCCTAGCAGATAGATGGGGAAGAAATGGAGGTAGTGACAGTTTTTATTTTCCTGAGCTCCAAGATCACTGCAGATGGGGACTGCAGCCAATCAATTAAAAGACTCTGGCTCCTTGGGACGAAAGCTATGGCAAATCTAGACAGCATACTAAAAAGCAGAGACATCACCCTGCCAACAAAAGTGCATATAGTCAAGGCTATGGTTTCCCAGTTGCAATGTATGGCTGTGAAAGCTGGACCATAAGGAAGGCTGAGCGCCAAAGAATTGAGGCCTTTGAATTGTGGTGCTGGAGAAGACTCCTGGGAGTCCCTTGGACGGCAAGGAGACCAAAGCAGTCAGTCTTAGAGGAGATCAGCCCTGACTGCTCTTTCAAAGGCCAGATACTGAAGATAAAACTTAAATATTTTGGCCACCTAATGAGAAGGAAGGACTCCCTGAAGAAGAGCCTAATGCTGGGAACAATTGACGGCAAAAGAAGAAGGGGACGGCAGTGGATGAGGTGGCTAGATGGAGTCACTGAAGCAGTTGGTGTGAGCTTAAGTGGACTCCGGGGGATAGTGGAGGACAGGAAGGCCTGGAGGAATGTTATCCATGGGGTCACGATGGGTCGGACTCAACTTCGCAACTACAACAACAAAGCAACAACCATGGCCTATCTTACAATGGACCTTTCAGAATTATTGAGATAATGACTGTGATGAGCTTTGAACATTCAGATCACATATATATTCTCAGTACTGTTGATATTGATAAAACTATAATGTCAGAACAGTGTGCTTTCATAGTGAATGGCTTTCTCATTATCATAATTAATTGAGAGACATGCACATGGTTGGCATGTTATGAGCGGAGCCGACTGGAGCTGGGGGTCAGACTAGATGGCCTGGAAGACCCCTTCTGACTCACACTGTTTCTATGTTTCTTCTAATCTTGGGGCCAGAGTTGCTCTGTGATGACACTGAGTTCTCTCTGTAGGTCTGCTGTTGATGTTTTGTCTTACAGGTTTGTGTACGTTCTGTAGTGACTTTTATGCAGATTATGAGCCTTGCTTATGTTGGTACTGCTAATTATACACATTCAGAATTTTCTGGAAAATCAGCAACCACTCCCTTTGTCCTTTGGTATGCACTACCTAAAAGTCCCATGAACTGATTAAAAAAAAAACTGTGATGCCTGACCTGTTTCTAGAGACCAGCTTAAAACATACTGTTGCAGTTGATTTAACTGGCTCCTTTGTTCTTCTTCAAAAATGTGTGCTTAACATCCTTTTTTCATAATTAAATATCATTTTTACAGTCTTGTTAAATAGTCTTGCTTTCTCTTTGCATGTGCATGTAACAACCTTTAAAAGTGTGATACTTTAGAATGCAGTTGCAGGCCTACCATGAATGAATGTTCCTCCACATTAAACAATTCGCTTTGTGTAGAAAAACTTATATCAGGAAAGAAATGTTTTAAGTTAGCTGCTTTCTTAACATGCTAGTTTTCTCATGTTTCATTTGTGTGTGCATAATCTCCAGTTCCAAAGTCTTTTTTGGCTTGAGGACATTATGTGTTTCACCAAATCAAAGCTGTGCACAGAAGATGGTATTGGTGCATATTGAGGGGGACAGTGTCCTGGTCATTGGTGGTGTAGTGGGGAGTGTGTAATTTACAATAGGCCAAAAGTGGTACCCAGGTATGAAAATATTAGTTCATTTCTCAGCTGTATGTTGAAATAATGAAATGTGTTATGACACGGATAGATCCCAACTATACACAGAATTTTATCCCAACTATACACAGAATCTTGCAGGCTTGTATTGTAGAAGATCTTTGAAAATGTATATTTTCAGAAATCCAATTCATACTCTGTAACTATCTGTCTTCCATACTGTTGATACCTGGAATGCACTTGTATCTTAAAGTGGAATGTGCACTTCACTCTTAAACTTGAAAAGGATTTGGGTATGTTTCTTGAGCAACTCCTGGAGCAATGATCAGACATCTTTCTTTCACTTGCAGAACATCTCCTTTAATTTTAGCTTCTGGAATCCCATCATCTCCTTTGCCAGGATAGTTGGGTTTAGGAATGGTAGCATGCTTTTCTGGGAAATATTGATGCTTCAGTGATAACTCTGCATTCTTCTAGTGTAGCAAGGGCTGCATCCTGGTGTGTTCTATCCTGTCTTCCTTGGTATGGTGATGCCCTTATATTGCTATGAGAGAAAGGGGAATCATTCACAAATGAGGCTTTCCAACTCGAGAGAGAGGTATTAAGCCTCTTTGACTTCTGAGTAGTGCAATTTGTTTGCATGATATATGAAATATATTTTCTTCTTTTTATCTTTTTCTTGCAGAAACATGCTAAAGGACAAGATTTGTTTGATCAGATTGTTTATCACTTGGACCTTGTGGAAACAGATTATTTTGGTCTACAGTTCATGGATACATTCCAGGTTATGGTATGTATGTGACTTCTACACTGTGGTAGTTGTGGTGTTGGGATGATTATATTCAGTCATCTGAAAAAGGAACTTATTTATTTAAAGTTATATGATAGGTCTTTGTTTCCAAGTAAGCCAGAAAACAGGCACCAGTTTGAAAAATGTTCTATGTGCACATATGAAGTGGATACCTTGTTCTGTAAGCCTTCTGAAGCTTAGCTGTAATTTGAATGTGACATATTATGCATGCATTTGCTTTTTTTTAAAAATGTGGAGAATATGTATAGCTACATTTATTTAACACGCCTATTAAGACCTTTTACAGCATAGACAATTAGCACCCCAAATTGCTTAGCTGAAATCAGTGTGCCTTTGATTCTTTGTTGTGGCCCTCTATTACACTTGTAAAAAATATTTTAGTGAAAGCCAAGAGAAAGTTTTCCACTGCCTGGCTGCATTCTATTGAGAAAAGGTGTGAGATGCTCCAGAAATGTTTTCTGTCTTGGCTGTCTGGCTGAAGCATCAAGTTTTTAATAATTTTTGTCTCTAGCCATATTTGTTTCAGTCGGCAGTATCTATAGTGGGGAAATCCATTTATCAGAAGGAAGCATTTAATGGTTAGGCACGTATATTCTGGGGAACTAGAACTCTCAGAAAATTTTCTTCTTTTATGGGATTTGTGAAAAGATGGTGGCAATAACTGACTCACTGTTAATCTGCTATATACACAAATAAAGAGCAAATCCTTTCATCTGAAACCCCATATTTAACATATAGTTATCTCTGCTCAGTCACCGTAACCTTGGGTGCGTGGAACATTCTTTTAAGATCTAATTACCACACTCTTCTAATTGGATATGTTGGCAACATACAGGTATGTGAGGGGATGTCACATGGAGATGGGTAGAGACCTGTTCTCCCCTGCAGAGGAAGGCAGAATGCGCTCCAACGGAGCAAAGCTCAGGGAGCCAAGGTTCCATTTGGATGCCAGGAAGCACTTCCTGACAGTCAGGACCCCGAGGGTGTGGAATGGGCTTCCCCGGGAGGTGGTTGAGGCCCCATTGGTGCGAGTGTTCAAGGATAGGCTGGACGTCCACATGGTGGGCATGTCGTGAGTGGAGCCGGCTGGTGCCGGAGGTCAGACTAGATGGCCCAGGAGACCCCTTCGGACTCGCTTTTTTTTCTGTGTTTCTATGTATTGTTGTTGCTACTGCTAAAATCTTACATAATCAAAACAGTCACATCAACTGAAACACAAAAGTTAAAAACACTTCAGTGAAAAACAAGTAAGGAGGCAGCACCCACGAGTTAAAACATGGTTCAAACAAAGCAGCTTAACATCAAAAGCTTGCCTGAATAAAAATCTTTGCTTGATGGCAGGACAACAAAGTTGGAGATGACCTTGCTTCCCTTGACAGAGGGTTCCAGAGGCTGAGAGTAACCACCAAGACAGCCTCCTCTTATGTTCTTGCCAAATATGCCTCCAGCATTGGCAGGACAGCAAGAAAGGCCTCTGCTGAGCATCTTAAAACACAAACAGGCTCAAAGGGGAGAATGTGGTCTTCCAGTGTCATATATATTATTATATTTAAATTATAGTACTAATCATATGAAATAACTATAAAGGAAGTGGCATTTAGGCCTGTTTTATCCTTCAGTCTCTTCTTCAGCTCAGCCTGTTATTTGTGAGGAAATGTTCACTGTGTATATGGTCATTGTGCGTATGTTTCTTTCTAGTATGTAATGGGCTGAGGAAAATTCTCTTGCTTAGGTAGCTAGCAAAGTGCCATCTGGTGAATAAGAGCTTCCAATGACTTTTGCCTCGGGCTGGATTTTAGTCAGTGAACTGTTCTGTAAAAGCCTGTAGAGTAGATGCTCAGTCCCCAGAGCTGTTCCAGAGCCCTTTTTGTTAAGATCCTGGAGTTAAGCGCCTGCCTGCAGGTTTGATCATCAATGGATGGTTCCTGAAAGGTTGCATGGGGGCACGTTTGTCCTTCCCCTCCACAGTCATATAGTGCTTCAGAAGCTCTTCCCTGTTCACCTTAGAGGAGTGAGTATGGCAGATTGCCTTTTTGTTGCAAGTTCTCTCCTTACTTCAGTGACAATGCCAGAAGCCTTTGGGGTGTGGATACTTGCACATTAGAGGCAGTTATTTATTGCTCAAGCAGAACTAACATGATACCAGGCAGGGTACCAGAGGAGAAACTTCCAATCTAGTATGAGTTGTCCAATACAAGGCAAATAATGTACATCTTTATTCATCCATGTGCCTAGTAACTCTCTTGAAAGAGTGTTGGGAACTATTTTGGACCCTTGTATTTAAAAACAAGTATGAATCTTACAGCTGCTGGCAACTCAACAACCTTTACAGCATGGCTAACCTGATAGACTCTAGTCTTTATAAGGCCTTTGTAACTGCTTTTGTCCTTGGGAAGTCATCTGTCCTATCATCTCACATGGACATAACCTGGGAGACCCTGCTTACCCAATTTGGAGGTGGGAAGTGGGTGGAAACTTGCTCCCACTGTTTCACCAAGCTTTGGAGGTGCTTTAAACATCTCCAGAATTTGCTGTGATGTTGCAGACAAGGCCCTAAGGCCCTAACCTCACTTTCTGGAAGGAAGGAAACCTGGGGTCTAGCAACTGGTGTAGTGCTTCCATCTGATCCTCTCAGGTTCCTTGCAATGATAATGATAGCTATGAAGTGATTGGTCGGCAAAAAGGCTCCCAGAGCTTTTCCCACCAATGCATGTTTGCTTTTCAATTGTCACCTCTGATCAGGTTATAGAGAGTTTTGATAGAAGTGTTACAGAAGGGGAAGGGTAAAAATGATGCTGCAACAATAAGGACTGGATAGCAAAAGATCGCCCTGTTGATAACATTAAAACTCTGCCCTGTAACAAGCCTAGTTTGAGGAGTGGCACCTTCAACACCACAAATGGAGACAACTTAAGTAGCCAGTGCATTTGCCTTTTGGGTTCTTCATGCCTTCACAGCTGAAACACTCTCTGCTTCCACAAGTTGACAGCTTGGAGAATCTCAAAAATACTGGTAGTAGAGTGCCTGTTGCACTTAGTTCAAGAGTTAAAACTCCTGATGCAAATATTCCATTTGTTAGAATTATGTCATTATGTATTCAAGGAAGGTGGTGGCTGTGGCTTAAAAGATGTTAGAACACACAAAAGTATGTGTGAAACACACATGATTGGGATTCACTGGAAATTGTCCAGCAGCTTGGAATAATTGGTGTACAAAAGATCTGGTTGGATTTTGTCGCTTCCAAAAATACCATGCTGAAGGAGCACAGAAATCTGAGGGGAGGGACAGATGATGTCAGTATCCTGGTCAATAACACTGCTGGTACTTTGTGCCCTTGGAACCGTGCTCCACTACATCAATGGTGAATGACATCAATGGTTTTGTGAAAGGAGTCTACTTAGCAAAGGAAGGGTGTGTTGAAGCTAGCTTCTATATTAGTTGTGCGGAAAGAAGGTTCTAGAAGTCTACTTACTGCTGTTTTAGATGGTAGGAAATATGGATTAGCCACTAGGAAGGTGAGGCACATTATTACCTGGACTGTCTCCAGCTGCAAGAGTGACAGACTAACAGCACACTCCTGTGGTGGACTGTTGAGTTCAGTGAGTATAATATTGTAACCAAGATTGGTATTAGGAGGTTTCCTCACAACATCATTTTCTTTCATCCCAAGTAAAATGATAGACGAGTAAAAACCTGTCTGCAGCATGCCTCACAAAAATATGTTGATTCCCAAGTTTGTACTTTAAACCAGGGATCCCCAACCCCTGGGCCGTGGGCCAGTACCAGTCTGTGGCCTGTTAGGAACCGGGCTGCACAGCAGGAGGTGAGCAACAGGCAAGTGAGCAAAATTTCATCTGTATTTGCAGTTGCTCTCCAGCACTAGCATCACCACTGGGGAGTGGCTGCAAATACAGATTATCATTAGCACCCTTTTGGGTATTGGGCCTCAAAAGTAGGAGGGAGTGGCAGCAGCAGCAAAGCCAGGGGTCAAGTGATATGGAGGAGCTGGTGTGGGTGGGTGGGTGTGTGTGTGTGTGAGAGAGCGAGCGAGCGAGCGAGCGCAGTGGGGGAACTGGGAAGCAGGTAAGGGCTGGGCTGTAGGGCTGCAATTCAGGGGGAGGCTTCCACTGATTCTGCATTACAGCGAGTTGTACAATTATTTCATTATATAATACAACATAGTAATAATAGAAATAACGTGCAAAATAAATGTAATGCACTTGAATAATCCCAAAACTTTCCCCCCAGTCCATCAAAAAGTTGTTTTCCACAAAACCGGTCCCTGGTGTCAAAAGGTTGGGGACCGCTGCTTTAAAGGAACAATGTAGTTAAGTTATTTTATTTTATACAGTTACGTGTATTTTATATTGTTATTTATGTATTTTAATTTATTTATTTGTAAGCCGCCCCGAGGCTTCGGCGAATGGGGCGGCCTAACATTTTCTAAATAAATAAATAAATAAATAAATAAATAAATAAATAAATAAATAAAGTGTAGGTGTAAGCTGTAGAGCATCACATTATTCCAATGAATTGTTATTTATTTTTAATTTTTAGCTATGTAGTATTTTTAGCAATACGACCATTGGTTCCTTGGACTTTGTACAACAGCCGACATAATGCAAAAATTGCACAGTGTGAGCTGAAGTACAGAACTTTTTCTCCAACCTGATACCCTCCAAATGTGTTGGACTCCCATTATGACCATGGTGACTGGGCATGATAGGATTTAAAGTCCAGCATATCTGGATGACAACAGATTGGCAAAGGCTGGTACAAAGGATCCAGCTGATTAATTCCATTGCTGACTGATTCTCATGTTGTAAATTAGTCTCCCTGGCCTGGTGTCCTCCAGATGTTTTGGACTTCCAGCTTCTGTCACCATCCACCATGGCTTATGGTCCAGAGAGCTCAGAATTGTAGTCCAAAATATCTGGAGGGAAGCACTGGTTGGTGCCAGAAGGCTGTTGTAACTTCTG